ATGAAAAAGAGTTCTAATCCTAACTCCATGCTTTAATGTGACTCACCCGCAACACTTTTTTCTTTTAATACAGCTGCATTTTGAAAAATAAAACGTGCTGTGCCGCGTTTCCTTATCAACTAGTAATTTAGTTTCTTAAATTATATTACTTGTGTAATAATTTAATCGATTTCAAAGTTCCGTCTTTCGCTAATTGTCAGAATAACAGTGAAAATGGCAAATAATTGCCTTTTGGTCAATTTAAATCATAGTGGTGTTAATTTTAGAGCAAAGTAATGGCCATCAAGAGAGCTCAAAAAAAAAAAAAAAATGTGGAGGTCATTTAAGAAATAATTCATTCTAGGGGGGGGGAACCCTTTCTCTCGGGTTTTATTTTTTCTCCTCACAGTCCTTTTTTATTTAGTCCCCCGTGTCGAAAGATTTGCTTTCCCTTGTAAGGAACTGCACTTTTTTTTTTCTTTTTTCAGTTTTTGTATGGCTTGGGTAACTGCTGAACAAACCTCTTTCAAGGAAGAAAGACGCACACTACACTGGGGCTTTTTCAAACTGGAGAAGTATTTGAGGTTGGGTAGACTTATTCATATATTTTTTATGACTTTATCCTTACATAACAGAGTGACTGAGAAGGTAAAACTTCTGTCCTTTTCGGCCAGCAGATCTGTCATAACCTTCATTCGTACGTGTGCGAAATGTCCATCCTTGAATATACTTAAGCAAGTTAGGAGAGGAACGTGGAGGAACTTTTAAGGAAAACTGGCTTGTATACGTTAGACATGGGGAAAACCACGAAATTGCCCATGCAGACAGCCCTTTCGCTAGGATTCGAACCATGTACCGAACTACCAATATTCAGCGAATTTATCGCTAGGCTGCTTGCTCAAAACACGAATCTTTATCCTTTATTATCAATTCTTCCTTTCAATAAAACAGCATCACAGCAAGGAACCGATCGGACACAAGCGTTTTCTTTCCGCAAAGTTTTTCTCAAAATATGGTAAATTTATGCTGGTGAAATCGTTGTAGCTTCGTTGTGTAACTGGAAGCACATTCAGGAGTCCCGGCAAGGGCATTGCGCATTTTTCACGTCTCCAGCATTTTAAAAAAAAATGGGGGGGTTGCCTGACGGCTCTACAATCCTATAAGAAAAGTACATCAAAGATGAGGGGAAAAAAAGTGAGGCGAATTGTATTTCATTTTATGCCCAAATTTGGCAAGCTGTGTAAAAATAAGAAAAACTCTATATTGATTAAGATATTCAAACTGATAGCCTTCATTCATTCCTGAATGAAGTACACTGCACCTGTAAATAAGTACAGGAATCAAAATTTAATTAAAAGCTAGAAAGGTATTTTATTTTGTCAATCAAACACTTAATGTAATTACTTATTCACAAACACGTGACAAAGTAACAGATTGTCATTAGACTTCTGCACTTCAGTGTTGTATAAATAAGGTAAATCTTTTCTTAGGCAATGCAGCTTACTTATATGCTCTTATGGTGAATCTTATCTCTTTTTATTTCTTGTTTTTCGGAGCATTTACAAAATTGTTCTCTATTTTGAATGCTTTTTGTACCCCCAAAGTAAATCCTTAAAATAATTGGTCTTGAATTAATGAATCAGTAGGTTAAGTCTTTTCCCTCTAACGAAAGTGTTTGATCATCATTTACTTCCTGATACACGGAACATAAATATCTATCCCAGTCCCCTTTCAGAAATTTAGGTGTTTGGGAAAATTAATTAAAGCGGCATTTAGTTTATAACTGTGTATGTAAGTAAGGAAAGTAAGTGGTTATTACACGTTTTATTGTATTTAACTGTTTTTGCGAACCCTCTTGATAGTGAAGAAGTGAAATTACTTGTCAATACAATGCAGAATCCCATGTGCAGAAATAAATTGCTCCAACTTCTCAATTATTTTTATTTCCTCTAATGGACAAAGTTCAAGATATCTGTTATGACCGAAAGATATGGATATTTGTTGCCAGAAGTGATATCTGTCAAAGGGTTAACCATATGCACAGCAATGTACTGCCATTAACTCTTATTTAGGGGGACATACAAACAGACGACCAGTTTTTGATACAAGAGTGGCAGAAAATTCGGCTATTCCTTTCAAAAGTATGTCAGTGCCTCTAAAATCACGTGAAAGGCTGCGTGAACCTACCTTGTTTTTTCATCAACATGGTTTTACCGTACTTTTTTCTCCTAGCTTTTTAACTGCAGGTTCTGAAAATTTAAAAAATATTCGCTTAATTTTCCGCTTTCTCAATGAGTTTAGAGAACGAGCCGCCATAAGTTTCAAAAGGGATTCGCCCATGTAGTGATTGACTCCTCACATTAACAAAGACAAATCCTCGCAAACTAACTGCGAAGGTCACATCGAACTTTTCCCTTCTAACTGTTGAAATTTATATCAGTCTAATACAAGAATCGACCATTCACCACGAAGCAAACAAGATATTCAGTTTATGATTTCTCTCAGTCAGCTGCGCATTTACTTTCTTTAATTATTTATGGATGATTTGAGGCCAAAGGATTAGCAAAGACAATAGTAAGAACGAGCGAGATTCAAGTTACAGGGAAGAAGAAATGAAAGTAGCTTATTAGCTATTGTAATGCTAAGATTACTATGTATTCTAATGGGAATGTAAGTTTCTTTTAAAGAAATTGTAATATTTGCCTGTAGTTTACACATGACTAAGCTTTCATTCGTCTTATTTTTACTGTAACGGCGTAAGTTATTGGCATAATTTTCCTCTCTTAATTTTCAAGCTATAAAATTAATAAAAGAAAATTCAGATAAAAAGCGAAGAAATACGAAAGTTTCCTGTGTTTACAGTGGGGAGCATAATATATAACGGTACGGATAATATATAACACTACGGAACATAATATATGTAATAAAAAGTGGGTATGGGAGCTTTTACTTTAGCTAAATTGACTTTATTACATCTACAGCCGTTAAATCCAGTTGCTGTTTAATTAAATGTAATGAATTAACCATTTCTTCAAGATTTTGTGACTTGTATAAAATATTCAATCGAATTTAATTTAGTAGGTTTGTATACAATTTTAAACACGCGTGTGATAATCCTATAATCCAAAGCTCAGTTTTAGATATATGCTTGTCTTAATTTCAAAACATGAGATACAGATGTTTCATCGAAAGAAATTGTTGAACATTTTATTAGCTTTTGCTGTTCTGTTTTATTGGTTCTACTTATTATTTCACTTGTTCAGTCCGTAAGTAATAAGAAATAAAAGCAGAGCTAAAAAGTTAAGTTGGTGACTTACTGTGGAATTCGTTTAATTTTGCTAGTGTGCTCCAGTATACTTACCTATACTATTTGACTTTTTGATTATACCTAGTGCTAATGCACTAGAAGTTATCGCGGAGTTAGTACTAGAAATTCAAATTTAATTTACAATAAAAGTCTTTCATTCATGTTTTAGGCCACAGTGCTGCAGACTTTGCGTTACCGTTAAGTCAAACAATATTTTGCTTGTATTGTCAAGACCACAGCGGCATCTCTGTGCTTTAATGCTTTTTTTTTTTTTTAAAAAAAAAAAAAAAAGCCTGTATGTTGATTTATATTTAAATGAGATTTAAGTTGCTGCGGAAGACGATAATTCACCAAGAAATCTAAAAATCTGGTTGAAAGCTATAAGACAAAAACAAGGCAGTTTATCAGTAAATGTTACCGAAATGTTGCCTAAAAATGATTTATAAACCAAAAGCACATTTTCTACCAGTTTCATAATTTATTTTTTTTTTATGTTAATGTTGCCATAACAAATAAGATGAATAAAAAGTCCTACCATTTCTAGCAGCTTTAATTCAGAAATGAAACAATGAAATATGAATTTATTCAGATAAGAAGCCTCAGAAAACGGAGCTTACGAAATAACATTTCACCCCGTAATTTTGTTTAAAAATGAATTAATATACATATCAATCATTTGATAACCAATAGGAAGAGATCGCGTTTTTGGCATATTTTTATACTTTTTTTAAAAATTGCAATTATAGTTTTTTTTTTTTTTTTTTTGCTCGCCCCTCCCATCACGTCCAGCAAACAATAGGGGCACTGCCAAAGCTCTTGACGGCTCTGCACTCATGATGCACTAAAAACGATTTCTTTGGTCCGTGGTACTTGCCTACCACTAATCTAGAGGGAAACTAGATACTGTGGAAAGCTGACTTTTTGGATTCTTACACACTTAAATGTCACGTTTCAATGTCAATGTTTAGAACACCAAGAACATTTATTAAAATTATACAAAAGAATACGAAACAGCATTATGCATAATAACTACATGTTTTAACAGCATTCCATAACACCTATAAATATTTTTGATAGAAGCTTATTTATTAGAATACTAGGCGTAATGTATAGCCATCCACATACTGAAAAATACTTAAAATGCATTTGTACATAATACGAAAGGATTTTGAAAATCAAGAATGCAAAACTGATTCACGCAGAAGTTAATTTTATTGTGAGGTAAAATACTGGCTTACCTCCTTTAGACACGAGCTACAAGAATTTTAGGTTTTGTTAGTTGTAACAAAGTATCTTATAGGCGAATTTTATATGAACCTTCCATAAAAGCGAAATCTTCTGTGCCATTTTAAAAAGTATGTGATGTTAATCATTATACATCTCTTTTTTTTTTTTTTTTTTTACTATCTAAAGATGATAAATTGAATTTTTGAAAAACTTTCCGGCACCGTATTCATCAAAATAACCACTTCTAGACTTTTTTGTCGACATGCATGAAGTATGCCAGCATTGTTATTCCCCCTGCAATGCAATTTAGTAAAATCGATAACCTAAACTGTTCATCTTATTGCGGTCCGTGGAGCGAGCCAACTCTCGCAAATCATAAAGAGTTGAATTACTTGAATTCGTCAGCAGCTTTTCTCTGCGTGTGAATGCGCTACAAGGAACAGATAAAGTGTCTACATAAATATTTCTTAAAATGAACAAACAAATACAATCTTCAGAATTGCTCTTTTATTAGCAAGCTTTCATATGAATAATACACGAAGCTATGAATGACACAAGGGAACACATAAGTATGAAAATCCATGGCTTTAAAGACAACATGACGATAAAAAAATATCGTAATTTACACAATGAATTTATACCAGATGAAGATTAGATGAATAGAAAAGCGCTTAACTACACATTCTCTCTTTAATTTTAAGCTTTGTGGAAAGTCTGAAATCAATCTATTTAATACAGTATAACAATATGCTTTAAATTTCAGACTGATTTTAATAAATGATTACACATAAAATTAAAAGATTTTCCCACATAAAAGCATAAGTAATGTTTTAGAATTGCTTTAAATTACGAACTTCCCTCTCAGTCATGAACATAAAACGTTGAATATGTTTACAAAATTTCTGAATATGAAACGTCTAAAAAATTCAAGTAATAGAAAATAAAAGTAGAAAAATGAAAAATCTTGTAGATAAATTGTTTACAAAAAGTATGATAAAGTATTTATATAAAATCTGTACTCTCCAAAGGCACTTGATCAAATGCTTTACAACATGTACTCTAAGCTTTTAGCTTATTACATAAAAATAAAGCAAGAGAGTTCCTTTTAAACTTCCTGGATAAGTTGTCTCGTGTTTACTATGTTGATATTTGAGCAGACTTGGCCAATAGACTGAAAAATAGGATCCAAGAGTGTTCGCACAATTCCACTCCATACCTGAAATAATAATAATAATAATAATAATAATAATAATAATAATAATAATAATAATAATAACGGACATTAGCAATATTAGCTTTTCACTCCTGTATAAGTGTTGCCACATATTTTCCTGAGTGGGACAATCAACTGTCTGGCAAGTGCTTTTTTACAACATTTACCACCACGCGATTTTTTTTCCCCTCATCGGGAAAAAGTTGTAAATTGTTCGTCGTTCAACAATCAGATAGATACCAGTATCAAAACTTCATGCCCATCATTGGAGTAACTATTACTTATTGTGATTCCATTGGTCGCTGCAGTCGGTTACACATCATGTGACAAAGAAAATTACGCAAAAGAGTTGCTCGTCCCAAATCACTTTTATGTGTGACAACAGCTTAAAAACATAGAAAATAAATTATGCGGTAAACTTATCTTTAAATTATGCATTTTCTCTAGCCTCTTCAAGCTAAAATAATTAATTCTAACACCACTATTGCAGAAAAATTGACAGAATGAATGCTTTTACAACATTACAGAATTTCGGTTTAAAGTAGAATTTATCAACTGATGGGTAATTTTTCCCTTGTACGGTCTCAAAGTGCAGTTTCATGGGGCTGGATTATCGACTTTTGGCTACTAGACTCAAATTGCAACAAAAGGCTAAAAATCCCGGAACCTAATTAAAGCTTGGGTGGGGGAGGTAACGTAAATCAAGCGAAATCATTAGAAATGTTTCCTTACATTAAATAAAAGCCTCATACATATCTATTTAAAAATGTTAATTTATGTATTAACATAGATATAAATAATCTTGTTGTTCTGAATAGATTACGGATTTATTCATTTTATTTATATAATAGATAATGCTTTCTCATTAAATATAATAAACTTTAAATTTATGTCTAAATTTATAGAATACTAAAATTTAAATGTCCAGTTTTTAGTTTTACCTATTGTTTAAAATGTACCACTTAGATAAAATAAAATTTTGACAAAATTTTGGGGTAATGACTATTTGACATGTGATGCAAAGGGCTGAAGCTTTACGCTACTGGAAATATGGAAATCGATTTAATCAGAAAGATAAAATATGAAACAGCAGTTTGCCAACATTAATTACTTTTAGGTATGTTAAAAAAAACTGCTTTAAGAAAAAAAATGTCATAACTCTTAGTAAACAAGAAAATAATTTTAATTATTCTTGATGTCACACGCACGAAGGGATGCTTATCTGTAACTGATTGGACAAATAAAACCATACATAAAAAGTACTCGCAATTGTGGAGAGACTGATAATGATCTGAGTGATTCTTCTTAGCTAAAATTTTCACCTATAGCAGTAACACCGTTTCCATTATTTTTTCTCGTTTGCAAATATTTTCTAACTTCTTTATAGTTATGATAAATATACAACAACAGAAGTTGCTTAAGAATTGACAAAATAAATTTTAAATGTAGGATAGATTATTGATTATAACGTTGAATCCTTGGCACCGAAATATTTTAATTTAAAATCTATACTTTTTTTTAATAAGACCGAAAATATAGTGATCCTAAACTAGATCAGAACATAAATCTGACATTATGTTTAGTAACAGACAAACGTAAAGGTAACACCTTCGAAACATAATAATAATTACCCTGTGCAGAATGTGCAGGATGACATCAAAGATTCGCAGTGAAGGGGAGATCACCCATACGTTGAGCAAAGCGAGGAGGGAGAAGATTAAACCCCAAAAAAATCCACATGGAATAGCCAATATGGCAGCCAGTATACGATACACCCAAAGCTTGGTTCCAGAGAACACCACGAAAGCTAATCGCCAAATAGCATCGAATCCATGATTTGCAGCTGGCTCTGCTAAAACATCTTCAAACACAATCTGCAAAAGTAAATAAAAGAATGTAAGAAGCACAGTAAAATATCATTTCTATTCATAATAAACTTTTTACACTTCTAATCATTAATGTACTGCACGTGTTTCCAGTTCACAGTAGTGAGCGATACCCAAATACTATCTACAATTAATTCATAGTCATAAAGATAAAAAAAAATAATAGTTTTAAAGAAATTATACTATTAGTGTATATACTATTAATGCTACTTTACTAAATTACACTATTTTTATGATCAGAAAAGTTAATAAAGGCGATTCTACAACGTTACAAGTTATGCACTTTGGGTTCAGCAATGACATATAATGCAATACTAAATCTTCGTTTGAAATGCTTTCTTTTACAATGCTATATTATTACTTGCTGTCCATTGCACATGTGTGGTAATTAAAAGACATATTTAAACTAATTTAAAATCATACAAAAAGGCTATTTTAGGCTGATGTAGATTTTGAATAAAATTCTATTAATTTCAAGGGCGATCAGACATAGGTCCCCCTCCTCCAGAAGCGATTTTTTTTCCAGGCTATCTTCTAATTAGATACTTATACTAAATTCTGTATCCTTGTGAAAAAGTTTCATATATAAAGGAAGTCTAATAAAATATTGCAATGAAATACTGCAAAGACAGAATAAAATATTCATTTTCGAAACTGAATTACAGCATTGCTCTGAAAATGCCTTAGTACAAACATTTGTAATGTTTATAATATATACCATGTACACAAAAGAAAAATGCTCAAAAACTATACATGTGTTATAAAAAGGAAAATGCTCGAAAACATGCAAAATAAACAACCGCTGGAAATAAATAAATAATTCTCTTCTTTAAATGAGCTTATGAACTTATTTAACTGAAATTATAACGAAAAAAAAACTTTTTAATAAATCCGGGCTTCATTTCCTTGAAGTGTTGAAACGATTATATTACTCAAATAACCTCTAAAAACCACTTGCGTGAAACATGATATATGATATATCTAATTAGCATTGCTCAAGAAGTATGGTAAATACAAAATTAGGTGATCAACTGAAATGAAATACGATGAAATCAACAGAAATTTTTTATTAGAAACGATATAAATATCACGAAAGCCAATAAAAAATTTATATTCGTTTGAATCTCAGCCTATTTAAGTTGAATACGTTGAAGTGCGTAATAACTTAAGTCTCGATTTACCTTACAAGGAGGAGGCGGGAGGCATGTTAACTCCTATTTACAAAAAAAAAAAAAAAAAATTCCTAAGCTTAAAATAAGGAGAAAAAAAAAATAATAATAACAAATAAAGTTGAATATGTAATCGAGACATACAGCTAGATGTATTAAAAAATTTCCTGACATCACTAATAAATTTCGAATGCAAATTTCTAAGGGATAACTTTATGCGAGATAAGCATAAATATATACGGCTTTCAAGTCATTATTTGTAGAAATGCTAAACTCAAAAATATACGGCCTATGTAATCGATGCTTTTCTTTATTTATTTACTCAGTAGGAAGTACTTAATTAATGTAATTTTGACTACATTTGGAGGAAAAACGTGTCAATTAACTAATAATTTTTAAAATCTGAAATTTTGGTTCATAAGATCTTAAACAGGAATCATTGGCATACGACCTCGATTCAAGAGATATTTAAACTACATTTACACTTCATCTAAAATCGTGTTTGTTTAATTTAATACTGTAAAAAACACCAAGAGAATGCTTTCGTGGGGAGACTTTCTAAGGCAAGCTGTCTCGTATTTACTTTACATGTGGGGAAAACCAGGAAGATTTCCATTTAGTCTATCCGTTCACCGACATTCAAAATCGATTCCAAAGTTCAGAGGTATTATCCATTTGACCAATTACAAGTTGCAGCTCATAAAGTTTGATTTGGTTTATTAGATTACGGCAAAGCACTCGAGGGCTATCTGCCTTAAGGGAGGTATGCCTTATACCTTCGTGGAGGACTTTTTAAGGGAACTGGCTCGTATACACGTTACACATGGGGAAAACTATGAAAACATCCATGCAGCCCGTTCGCGGGATTCGAACCTCGGACCGAACAACCAGTGTTCAGCGACGTTACCGCTCGGCCGCTGGTGGGCCAACTGATAAAGTAGCATACTACTTTATTTTCGTTATAATCATGAATTATCAAGTCCTTCACTTAAAAAATAGTATTAATATACAGATCATTTTTAATACCTCTTTAAAAATTAGCTTTCTTTTTAATGTGTGATCGAAAAGAGAAGTAGGTTTTAAATTTACAAATGTACTTTTTGCCGTTTACGAATTTTTTTATTCATTTTCATCAAAAATTTTCAACCTATTTGGATCATTACCACCCTCTTCTGAGTTCCCCGCCATCGCCTCCCAGTTTTGTAACAGTGATGTATTTGATATCCTCTAAATGTGATTTATCGGCACTGACTGAAAACGCTAAAGCAGTTTTAGGTTTATTGCATTGTATTAAATTATTAACTAAAAATCATCACGCAATACGAAAACGAAATGGTAATGACTAAAGAGTTGAAGCATTTGTGGCAATGAACTTGACCAAACATGTACAGATTCCTCCCATAGCACGTGTAATAGTATATTTTGAACGTGTAATAGTATATTTTTGTAATAGTAATTTTGAACACTGGGCATCATTGCAAGTTCGGATTCGTGTGCATGTTTTTGGAATATTTAACTGATAGTTTGTAACTTTATTTCCTTGGAATAAAAGAGGTGAACATACATGTGGATTGGGCCAACATGTGTAAAAGATCAACTTACATGATTTGGTGTGATTCTAATGCGTAAATGTAAAAGTTGTACAACAAATGAACGTTTAAGCACTTTTTTCCAAAGAATTTAGACAACCAAATTTTCCAGACATGTTCTTGTTGTTGCCCACTTGGTTCTTAATGCCCCCTTACTGATTATCGCACAAGTAACGTCCTTCTAGATCTCAGAGTTAACCTTGAGAAGCTATGATCTACTACATCTTCAGATGTAAAGTGATAAATGGCTAATCTGAGGCTACCTTTTAAGCGTACTTACAAGACAGGAATTTAACTATTCGTATTTAATTATTATATTTGTATCAATTTGTTCTTCAGCATCATCACCCTCCAAACACAAGAAAACAAGTACCGTTTCCTGACCGCGTGCACGCGCAGACTTCGATTATGGTTTTACACGAAAATTTCCAATTTCCATTCTTCATTTAAAAATTTCTAAACTAAAAGTTTTCGAAATGAATTTTATATATGTTCAGTTTTTAATTCAGGTTTCTAATGCGATAAATTTTGTTTCAAGTAAAGTATACTTAAATTCTTAATTTCAAAAACAGTAGAATTTTGATGATAAAAATGCACACAATATAGATGTTCGAAAGTTCTTAATTAATGACAGTTCTGTGAAGATCAACAGAAAATTTTCTCTATTCACGACGAAATTTTTATTCGAAACTCAATATGAAATAATGCTATAACTCAATTTTTTAGCAATCATAGCATATGATTTTTTTTGCAGCCGTCTGATATTTTTTATATTTATTTTTAAAAACGTAGGTTTAAATTTTTATGTCTTTGATTGAATTCTTTTGCTTTATTTTTATGTAGTCACTTTTTCACGTATCCTAAACAGCTCAGCGTTTTTTTAGTTATTAGTAATTAAATTCTTTTCATTTAATCCATATTTGTATATAGTAAGTCTTTTCCTAGTTTGTTGCATCACTCCCTTCTCCGCAAGCAGGTTTTAAAGCACTGAGATCGTGGGAAATTAATAATCTGGCTTTTACTTCCTTGAAATTTACTTTTGCCCTAATTGTTCAACTAATGCAACATTTTTCTTGCCATAAAACTTGATACTGTAGTTACAGAAATATGTAACTTACTTTAAACTTTTCTAACTAACCTCTGTCTCATTTGCATTCAACCAGGTTGTTAACTTCCGAACCCTTTTCCCATAATTGGAGTCAAATATGCTATATTTTTAGTTTCACGTCAAAAACTGGAACAGGTAAACGATTTACGTACATCTTTCCCATATTGTAATTAATCTCAATTTGGTCATTCAGCTTTCTTTTCATTACTTCACGGTGGAAGGAAAAAATACTGATTTTTCCCTCTAGAAAAATAAACCACAAAATGATAAATATTGCCACTTAGTTTGACTATTGCTTCATTGAATACCATATTGACACTTCGTTTCAATGAAAGGTGTGCTGCCCTCTCTTTATTTATTTATTTATTTATTTTTATTTTTTTTAATATTATTTATTTATTTATTTTCTTTTGTTTTGTTTTCCCAGTCCTTACTGTTAGAAATTTGGGAAACGAAACGCTAAAGCTCCGAATAGGAATAACGATGACCTTGACAAAGGATAAAAGACACTAAATATATACTCTTATTTATATTCTACGATTGCGTTGTAAATTCATCTCGAATTCTTGGTCAATAATATTTAAGTTTTCCTTGCCTTCGTAATTCCTGCCAACCAGATAAATAATTTCAGTTAAGTAGCAGTTTTAAATGCCAACACTGTTCTCAGTTATATTTCTAATTCATTTTTGAATCTAGAATAGTGCAGTCACTAAATAACATTAACTTTAAAGAGCGCAGTAAGTTACTAAAACTTTAAAAAAAAAAAAAAAATGTAGATGCATGTGCATTATACTGCAAATAATATTTTACAATTACTTATATATTACAATATTTAGCACCTGCAAATATTTATATTATTTGTTTTGTTCCGACCATGTACCTCAATGTTTGGTACTGAATTTTCCGCGGTTAGTTCTAATGCTCCATTACAAATTAAACATACTTGAAAATTTAAAAGCCAAGGGAAAGAGTCTTTTAAAAAGATCATTTTCAGTTTTCAAACAGAAGCACTTCTAGGATAGCATATGTAAAGCAAAGTACAGAAGGACGAGAAAAAAGAAGAAAGGAGAGGAAATCTGTATTTTGAATAATGGCTCGGCAGTATTCAGACAAATAGCTGTG